TATGTGCTTGATGCAATTCCGATACGTTGTGGCGATATTAATGTCACGCCATTCATAACAAGTGTGATGCCGGGTCAGTTGATGGCCCTAGTTCGACTGGTTTATTTTTCTTTTTCCCAAAATTTCTTTGTTTCGCTGCTTTCGTGACATGAGAGAAATTTTTGGTTGTTACGGTGGTCTAGCGGTTAGAAGGCTGGCCTTGTAATCCTGGGGTCTCGGGTTCGATTCCCGGCGGTGCCCGAATTTATAACTTGTGTTGGGCAAGGCCGTGGTCTAGGCAACACGGAGTTTTCCTACGGGGGCTTCCCCGGTTTCTCCGTGGCATCCCAACAATTACTCCATTCACACACAAAAGAAGGCAATGGCAAACCACTTCTGGATCATCTGCCAAGAACGTATATGAACAGGTCCCAGTCCGAGAAAAGGATGGAAGGATCCTGTTCATATGGACCTGTCCTCAGACAGAACACTAAATAAATAAATAAAAATGGTAGTACTGCCGTATACTGTTTGTTTTAGTTAATTGCGTTTGCATTTGTTTCTTGTGCCGCACAAACAACATGGCTTCGTTCCCTGTGCGGTTGTGGATGAGGGTTTAATTTTATGTATGCAATTACAATGGTGTTACTTTCAATCGTACAACGTCGTGGCGGGTCCGAGGCCTGCAGACAGAGGATACGGCCTCCAAATTCTGAAGGTAGCTACTAATATGTCGAATAATCAATCGCGGATGGCCGACAGTGGGCGACCCTCCAGCTTGGATGTTGGACTGGGGCTAGCAGATTATCACCGTAAAAATCTAGCACGTTTCGAAATTCTACAGGGAGCGTCGGGCTTGGACGGATTGAATTATCTGAGCTATGCACTTTCAAGATTTATTTAAATATTATTCTTCCATCCACTACTAGGTCTCTCAAGTAATCTGTATATCTGAGGAATAGTTAGAGAATTCAGAGGGCAATGTAACACAAGTACACTCTTCTCATACAAAACCTTTCAGTTGCCATGGTTACAACGCTGTTTTCTGTTGACTAGTACAGAAACGTTTAAAGGAAACGCGAATTACTTGATTTGATTTCTGAATGCAATTTAAATTACGTCTTGTTGCGGAGGCAACTTCCAGATGTTGTTATGTGTGAAGGAATATGATGCAGACTTGATGAGGCGTGATACACTCGAAGCGAACGCTTTCAGACCTCATGTTACGTTGTTAGAGGCAAAACAATTCAATATCTCGGCAGCCACCGTCTCTTCATACCCACACACCTTGCAGCCCTCATGTTCTGCCGCAGTGTTTGGTTTACATGACAGTCACAATGTCAGGGAAGTCGCTGAACCTGATAGCATCTTCAGCTCCAAATTGTCCGTCTTCAACAGTTTCTAACCTCGTTCTCTTAACATATGCCGGATTAGCTCAAACACCCGTTCTTAAAGCTCTTATTTAAATGACTTTTAATTAAATAACCGCATTGCTATTTCACTTACTACTTTTAATTAAATAACCGCATTGCTATTTTATTTACTAGATTATTAACCTTAGACACACGTCGAATATAAGGTTTTAATTGTGGGTGTGTAGAAATTTATATTTCTATGTTCTTGGATCGCTTATAGCTCAAGAAGGGATACACCGATTTGCACCAAACGTGGTACGCTTATAACCTGAGACCAGATTGAGAATGAAAATGGGTAAGAACTGTGTAAAATGTGTCCTGAGTTCGATTTCTAGTGATAGCAGCTCCTGTAGCACTGAGCACGATACAAGAATAACGCTAAGATTGGGGTTTTTTGACGTAAATACGTCTATATTTTAGGGTCAGTGTCATTCGGCAAAAAGTGAAACGAAAAAGTGTAACTGCATTGTTATGTTACCTTGGAAACGTCAATTGTTTACTCGGCATTGTTGTTACCTATAAAACATT